GAAAAGGTCTCCGAGTGCCAACTTGGATTCCTTGAAACATACTTGATTATGAGTAATTTGATGCTGATCTTGAACCTGATATCCGTTCATCCCCATACGATCTTACAGAACCTATGTTCGAATGCGGTGTCTTCAGAAATTCATAGCGAACTCTCGCCTAAACAAATTCTGATAGTGCCAGATTGCAGAGCATATCAAATAAGCCCCGTGGACAAGTTTTCACTTAGTTATAAAAATTTCAGTGTTTTATCCAGCCAAAATAAGAATAATTGAGATATTTTTCCCATACAAAATCCACAAGTCAATGAAAAATTGTCCACGCAGGTTATTTGATATGCTCTGCAATCTGGCACTATCAGAATTTGTTCAGGCGAGAGTTCACTATGAATTTCTGAAGACACCTCATTAGAACATAGGTTCTGTAAGACCGTTCGAGATCAGCATAAAAAATTACTCATAATCAAATATGTTTCAAGGAATCCAAGTTGGCACTCGGAGACCTTTTCTCGTAATCCATAATTTACACACTGATCACTGCAACTGTAGAAGGCTAAATGGATCCAAAAAGAGCTCACTAAATCTGATGGACCATAGCAAATATACTCGTTAGCATGCATGTTCAACATGTGCAGAGAATAAAAGCAAAAAACTAATCTAATTGTACGTATATTTTTAGTGCCATTTCAAATACAGTTTCTTATATAGATCTGTGCAAAGCATGCACATCATATCAATAGAAAATAAAAAGTCGCTTTTCTTAGCGTCAGACGGAATGAACAATCGGCTCTTTATTTTCACTTGATAGGCTTTTTGAAGTATTGAGGTGCATTTGACTATATACCTTCGTTTCAACCAAAAATATGTGTTAGGCTGTTGAGAGTTTCACGAATATGCTAAAAAACATAATACAGTATTATGATAATGTAGTTTTTCAGAATAAGATTTTATTTGATACTATGGAAAACAATGTTTTGAATACAATTAAACCAATGTGAACTATACAAAAATTTCACTTAGAAAAATAACCTATTGAATTCATACGTCATACGACTACGAGTATTATCAAGATGATTCATTCTCTGAGCTGAATAATTAGATACAATGGATTGAATATTTACCATAAAATGCTGATGATGTCTTAGATATCTTCATCGGAACCAAGATATATCGAGAAAATTCGACAAATCTGGCACAATAATAAACTAGTCATTTTTGGAGCCATGGCAATTGAATTTCTTCTACCTATTCATCGTTCAATTACACTTTTTTGATAGTGGCTTCAGTACACCTATATGAAAAGCAACTGATGTAGAATGATTGTCATGTTCAAAAGACTTGTTAACAGAACCCAGGACGTCGAAAACGGTGTAATTAATTGTCTATTGAATGCCAGTTAATAGCTAATAAAATAGTCATTAAATGGTCATTTTTACATCTTATAAATGGAAACGTTTTAATGCCTTAAAATGACATTTTTTAACAGGTTGAAAACTGTCCGACAGTAGACAGTTAATAGCATCATGTAATGGCCGTTTTTGCACCATTACTAACGGTCAATTATAGAGCGTTTCCTTTGATTAATTTTTTTGATTAGTACCCCAAATATAGTGATTTCCAACATTTTTGTTCCTAGATCCACGGTGCCATCAATGGCATCGGATCCAGAACCAGCGACGATTTCCACTAGACAAGTTTCGATGACTCGTACAATCGGAAAAGAGAAAAATTTGCAAATTTCTTTCAAATCTCACTGCTATATATACATATATCAGTCATTATTGCAAAATAAAAGGGCGATTGAAACAGCTATTTTAAATGACAGTTTTTTTGCTGTATATTTTGCAATTGAAGAATAGCCTGTTAATAGCCATTTAACTGTGACAGTTATTTTACATTTTAGGATGTACAGTTAAATGCCTTTTTTTGCCTTTATTACAGCCAAAACAGCGACTGTTAACTACCTTTTTTTCAACATTTTGTGGTGGTATGTTAAATACCTTTTCTCGAGCCTTTATCAACAAGTACATAACGGACAATAAACTGACTGTTACCTGGCAGTTTTTCACAAGTTATTTGGGTGTTAAAAGCCAGTTTTTTTGGTATACATTTAAAACACATTACATGGCTTATTAAACGTCAGTTATGTTTCACCCGGGAAGGAAATGCGTACCTATGAGTAGTCGAGCTGTTCTATATGCGGATGACAGAACTTAATCCAACTTAATAATAGTCTGTGAATCATACGAATATAAGAATGTATGGGGACATCTGTTTGAAGATCAAAGTCTAAAAATAACTCCGAATGTGATGTTTGTTAGATATTTTGCAGAGTAGTATCTGTTCACATGTGTACGTATAAGTGCGTACCTGAATGCAGATGCTTACGCCTATCAGTAGTGATGAGGCAGTTCCAGTTTTTAAAGTTCCTGACAACTCGTTAGGCGTCTCGTTATAAGAACGGGAACTGCTGAACGTTCTTTTAAAAAGAATTTTTCAGCAGTTTCCGTTCTTAGAACACGAACAGCTAACCAGTTAACGTTCAAAAGAACTGCACTGGAATTTTTCCACCCCTACCTACCAGAGTTGGGGGCGGTTCTTGTTTTTCAGGACTTTATTACCTTATTATGCAACAACTTTTCTAAAATAGCAAACTGAGCCGATCTTACTTCTGATGTATCAAACGGGTTACTGCATTTTTAGTCCTATAAAAAATCTCTTTTTTTCTTTTAAATCCTTTATAAAAGAACATTTTAATTTTTTTGCACCTTAGTTTTTAAGAATCCCAGGATTGAAGTGAGATGTAAAGCTGGAAAAAATTTTAGAAGAGTACTTTAGTATGATCAACATACGCTGAACAGATTTAAAAATGAAAAACACTTTTCGTAAAAGCATGCTCATTTAGAGTAAAAATTTCATGATCTATGCATTACTTGATGTTGAAAAAGGAACGTGTTCTTCTATTAGTCTATATTTTTTCGTATTACAATATGCGCTATGAAAGTCAATGTGAGACTTTGTAGTGGCAGAACGGAATAAAAAAATTCTTCGACAAATATCGTACCGTCAGACTACGTACATATACTTATCATGTTTGACGAAAGAAAAAAAAAAACGAATTTTGTCCAATTTGACAAGCATATTTTTTCTTTTGATAAAAAAAGAAAGGCGGTAGTCTTTGTTGCGGTTAGACATATGAATTTAGAGATTGAGGAACGAAATAAAGTACCCGACCGTTTCAGCGAGAGTGAAGCTGCAGGAAATAAAAAAAGTTATGAGTAAAAAGAGGTAGAATGCTGAATAAGAAAAAGATGTAATATTTTTTGCTTATATGAATTTATATGTAGTATAATGCAACGATGTCGAACATATAGATCAATGAATAGAAACCACAGAGATTTGTTTATAACAAAAAAAATTGTATACTTCTTTCGAATAAACCAGTAGTACTTGACAAAATCGGTAATTCTCGATTTCTGTTTATGGGCGATGTGTAAGCGTGTGTCACATAATAGTAACCTTGAAGATGCTAGTGCATATTTTTTGACCATTTACTTTCGTTTTTCGTTTTTTTACTGTTCTCTTCTTCTAGATTTTGTTTAGATAACATCTAGACAAAGATCTGATCTTGTATTGTTTACAAGAATATTACTTGTGCATAAGAGAATGCCGACTGATAATAATTTCCTGTCAAGCGCTCCGCCTACACTTTTAGACTAAAACTATTTTTACTTTCAAATGGCTCTAAATAGCTTCAAATCTTCGCTTACAGAGCGACGGTAATAGTTTTGATCCCGGAAAAATTGCAGAATGGATTCCGTATACAAAAACTTATATAAAAAACGCACAAAAGATTCCCGGTTTTCTCTGTCGGCCTCCCGCGCCGCCTTTGATCTTATTTTTTATATACAGGATCCATTCTCCATTTTCATCGGAATTTTTTCTAATTTTATCCTTCATAGTGAGTATTTTGTAAGACATTCGCTAGCTCTATTAAAAACTTATAAGATTCTTCGGCTAACTGCTAAAACTATTATGGAAGGTAGAGTAACAATATTTTTTTTATGATCTTAGGTTTATTATCGTATAAACAAGTTTAATTCAAGATGAAAAAGCTGTCTGCAGAGCATGAAATAAGATTATTTTTATTTGAACTGAATAAATTTATTTTACAATTGCTTAATGACTTATAGAAAAGCTCAAACCTTGGAAACTTGCATTTATCCTTATTACGCGCATTCCTCGAGACTGTAACTTTTCTCTCAACACAATTGAGGATATATAAGTCGAACATCACGAAAATAATTTGGTGATCATTTAGTGATGCAAAACAAATAAGTTATTTCTAAAATCGAGTTTTAAAATAAAAGTCATTTTTCTCTTTTAACAGCAGTAAACTGGTATGATTCAGAGAGGATTTTGCTGACATATTTATCTTTTCTTTTGAATAAGTCTGAACGATGGTTAGTAAGAGAATGTATAACAATCTGTGAAGGTCGAATCACCAGATCATTTTGATGATGTATAACGTATTTATTCTCAATTGTGTTAAGAGTAAAGTCACAGACAAACGGCCTCGAAGACTGCGCGTGTAGGAAGGATCAATCTTATTTCAAGACTTCGACTTTTCTATAACTAAATAAGTGGTTGCATAACAGATTCATCAAGTAAAGTTGATATCAAATAATTTCTTCAATTGCGAACTACTATAGATTCTCTCTCTCATGGATGTAACTTTGAGAAACCGAATTTGAATAGTCAATCATACGCGTGAAGACCTTAAAGATAAAGATTTTGATTAAGGTTGAGCAGATGGAACAGTCTCCTATGATTATTATTCTCAAATCTCAAAAGTTCAATATCAGCATTGCTATCTCCTCGGTATCTGAAAGAGTTTTTTTGCTTACGATAGATCTACGTCTGTATTTCTAAGAGTCATTTAAGAATTAATCGAATAAAATATTGATTTTGACTTCGATTTTATTTCATATTTAGATTATTGAATGAGTACAATGATGTGGCTAGCACGATCGTTATTCCTCTTTTATTTGTTACCTGCTATTAGTGCAGTATCATTTACAGGTAATATGTGAAAACTTACACTTATTTAAAATGTCACTATCAAATTCTGCTATAATTATGTAAACAAAGAAAAACTTAAGACTTTAAATAGTGCACTTTCTTTTCAGAAGAAGACCCGCATTTGAAAATCAAGTTAATGGATATCAAATTGTCTGAGGTGTGTATTATAACATCTACTTTATTTATGTTATCTAAATGTCTTTTTCCACAATAACAGTGGAAGCCTTCTTATGCAGACCGACTCGAACAAGCGCTTGATAGTGAATTAGCATATATCAATGACAAAAAAGGCGTTGACTGCAAGGCAATGTAAGCGTCTTTTTCATTATGATTATTCTGTTATTTCTATCGAATTAAGCGATTTATCATCTAGTGATTTTGAAGAGAAACATGAGGCAGCCGTACAAGATGGAAGATTTTTAACTATTAGCCTGCTTGGTAAATGCACGGAACCTTCGGGAAAAGTTCATCCAGTTGAAAAAGCGATCATGATAGGTATGAGAAATGTGGGTACATCTATGTAGAATCTAGTATCGCTTTATCGACTTTCCGCATCTATGATGAGACCCTCTACAAATTGTAATGTATGATACACTTTTACAAGTTCTACACAGTAAATCTGAAAAAAAATTCGGAAGAGAAGTGGTAGCCTCCTCTACCCTCCTAAATCCACCACTGTCCATATGTTCTGCTCAAAATTTACAAACTTCTGTTTGTTGAATTTATATTTAACCAGCAACGAGAAAGCATCTCAAAATAGCAGCTTCCGAGAGTCCTTTATCGTTGTATCGGAAGGAAGCCTAGGGCACATGCCAAGTGGTTCATCATCGCTATGGCAAAAACTTTTGTAAATATGTTTTAAATAGACTTACTACGTATTTCAAGAGCGTGAGAACAAGAAGTAATTAATTTCTGATTGCATTTATGTTTGTTTAGAAGCGATAATACGCCATACAGACGCCATCAGACAAATTACCGGTGCAACATTAATTAAAATCGACGATATTCAAATTTATAAACGAGACAGAAATTTCCTTAATTTAATTATTATACCGAGCGCATGTGGTTTTATCCTTCTATTGGGTATACTCACATTTGGGCTTAGGTTTATAAGGTAAATGTAACTCTAGAGGATGGAGCTGTTTTAAATTAATATTTGAGCTAGTGTCTGTCATGTACGTTTAAAAACTCTGACTATTACGAATATGAATATAAACCAGTTTTTTGCTTTTTTGCGTCAATGTTTTCTAGAGCAGAAAATTCAATCAACACTTAGAACTTTCAGTTATTACTCTGTTGTCATTGTAGAGAAAGACAAAAACGTCGACATATCGTGAGTGAGTTGAAGAAACGTGGTCCTTCGAAAGCACGTGCAGCAAATAAAAATGAGCCGAATTCTGATGAAAAACAAAGTCTTCTTCCACGAGAACCCATCGCTGGAAAAGAAAGTGATAAAATCGGTTCATCCAAACAAATCACGCATGAAAGAGATGATTCTCGTGCAGGTCGATCTTCTCGACCGGATACGAGCGCCAATAATCGTCGACCCATTCAAGATCCTCCTCACATAAGTAATGTTTCTAACGATCCTACTGCCGGTGGTAATTATCGTCCAGATTTTGATGAACGAATGTCACGTCCAAACAGAGACGAACGAGTACCATATCGTGATACAATGGATGGTCGTTCATCACGACAAGATCCACAGTTCATAAGATCAAGTCAAGAACGAATACAAACTCCTTACGATAACCGTACGCGTCGATTTTCTCCAAATCGTGATGAACTACACATGACAGAAAGAGATCATATGCATCGATCAATGCCTCCACCCTCCTACCTGGACGCAAATCCTCCACGTGTTGTTGTTCGATCTGTACCTGCTGATGCTGACTTTGTTCCGTATTATCGCCAACAACAATACCATCAACATCCAGATGAATCAATGTTTATACCCATTCCGGTTCAAATTGAGCGTGGCGGCGTTCATGCACGTTTTCCAACATATGACAATCGAATGCAACCGTCTGGATCTCCTCATTACGATCGTCAACAAACTCAACCTTACTATAGACATATCAATACTTAATTTTTTATACTGCTAAAAACAATCAGTTGTTTTTATATTTAAACACTTTTTAATCCTTGTTGAACAGTGAAACATGGAACAGTTTTATATTGTACATAAGTATTTTTAATAAATTCATTTTATTTGACTTTTGAAACGGTAAGAAGGAAAACTGGATCCTTGACTTAAAAAAGTGATTATCTGGGTAGAAGGATATTCAAACTCTATTATGAAAAATGATAAAAGACTTTCTGCTCTCTAAAAGTAAGGAGGTCGAAGGCAAAAAGAAATCCAGTTACTTGATATATCTATAGGTTTAACCTTGACTTGGCGTTAATTAATCTTTTTTCAACTCGTCCCATAATATTTTTTCTTAATTCGTTTTTTCCTAACTAAGCGTGATTAAAAATAGATGTTCAGCTCTCTATATAAAGTAGAGTTCCAGTTCAGTTCTTTTGAACGGTAATTGGTCACCAGTCCTTTTCAAAAGAACGAGAACTGGTACCAGTTCTTTCCAAAAATTAATAATAAAATAAAACCGGTGAACCTAGTTACATTGACTTTGTCTGGTGCGCCAAAGGGTAGATGGTGTGTTTAGTTGACTAATCCCCGTCAATATAACTAGCTACATCGGTTTTATTTTATTTTGAATTCTTGAAAAGCACTGGTACCAGTTCGCGTTCGACAAGAACTGAACTGGTAACTAGTTCTTTCGACCAGTTCTTAGGAAATGTTGGAACTGGAACTGTCCCACCCCTAATATAAAGTTAAAGAAATCATGCCTGATAACGCAAAATGCGCAAGAAAAACCAATAAGAGTGTGCGTTTATATCTACTTACTTTTAAAGTAAAAGGTGTTGGTGGCTGTTACCGAATAAATTTTGACTGTTAGTAGCCGTTAATAAATATTTACAAAAAAAACGTTGCGCTTTTCACATACATTCCTTGATGATACATATTCTAACCGTACTACGTTAATTCTTTATTTACAACAAAACAATGAATGAACTAGATATGCTGACAAATATCTGAATATTAACTAATATCATGGATAGTTCAGTCTTTTGACAATGCTAGTTTCATCGTTTTCGTCTTAATGTGCGAATATTGTCTCGAAGTGGATTGAAGAAAACTCGTTGTATTTCGGACCAGATGATTATAATTTACATCAGCTTCTCATTTAGCCTTCAATTGAAATTGGCACGATAGAATATTTTCTGTATTCTGAGCAATTGAATGAGGTCAAGAATCCTTATTGAAATGTGTCGATTTGATTTTTGCCCGCATACTATCAGTCAGTCTTGTTTGATATTTAAACTATTTTTGCCAAATTCTGCGATGGACACAGTTCACGCAGAGAAAAGAATGAAGTGACGTAACTACTACAATCTGTAGAAATAAAAGCATCTAAACTCTACTTAGATAGGTCGAACGTGAATACAAGTAAGCAATCAGGAGCCCTTCTGCAGACGAAATAAAATAAAAATATTTTCCTGGATTAAAATTTTAGAATAAATTAAATGGGGTTCTTGCATCAATTGTAATAAATGGGATTACTTTTGCCATTAAGTAGCGCTTCTTTCAGATTTTACCCTACTGATCTGTTTAGAAATATTCTGTAGACTATTGTAAACCGACGCTAATTCAAAAGTTTAGCACATTTTTATTTTTGGTTTTCTTATACATCATTCGATAGAGAATTTCACGCTGATCAGGAATATCCACTTTTTAGCCTTCCGGGTGCACGTTTTCATGGAGAGAAATTCGAAATACTCTGAGGGTCTCAACATCGGGAAAAACCTTCGTATTTCGAAAAGTTGAATATTTTTTCTCCTTTGTATTTTGAAGCTTCCAAACGTTTCTTTTCAGATTTAGCATTGAAAACTAATTTAGGAAATGTGTTTTGAAAATTTTCCATATGTAATGTGATTGTAGGAGAAATTCGTTTACAAACGTAACTCCAAAGCGAAGGCCTCGCCGCAAACAGCTATCTAGTTTTTTGTGTTAAGAGATGGAGCTCTCATTCTTGCACCATTCGATCAGTTTTAATTTGTAGTACAAAAGTTTGAATCGCTTTTTTCTAAAATTTGTTTCATTCCTGAGAAAGTACAAAATGAAAGCAAAATGCGACACAAATTGGTCTGAAGACTATATTAGAAGTCAGAAAAATGCCTGCTACTCTTTCACTTCTCAAATAACTAATATATGAGTTATTTAGCAAGCTGTTTTAGTACAGAGATAGAAAGACACATAAAGGAGGGGGTCTCATAAGGTTGATAATTGGCCCACTTAACTTTTTGTCTAAAAACGATTCTGTAATAGTAGACAAGTATTATCAGTCAGTTTTAAGTAATTTCGTGTACTTTTGGTGACCTAAATTCGAGTTATTCTTCGTCAATAGGACGCCAATAGCTCGTTCTTTGAGATCAGCTATAGGTTACGTAAAATATGTTTTTCTCATGTTTTTTGCACGTAGATTTGAATGTTTACTCTTTGGCCTCGTGCCCGCTACACGGGTATGTACTATACTGCTAAAACCGTTCCCTGCTTTAGCTCGAAGACTAGGGATTCGCTTCGTCATTTATCTAGATAATATTATCACATTAGTGTGGACAAAGTGTCTAAAGACGAATTGACGAATCGCAATTTTTGGGCGTAAAAATGATGCAACAATTCGCATTTTACCATTGTTTTGCGAATTCGTAGCGAATTCGTAATCTAATGCGA